GAGAATTTTGTATTCTACAATATTGATAATAAATACAAATAGCAAAAAACCCATAGGAAATGAGATATTTCCAAAAAAAGCGCAAAAAACCGATTTTTGTGACCTTTGACCTTGAAATTTAATAGTTGCTTACACCCTACCATATGTAGGTTTTGAGACAACTTTTAGGGTATCAATATACAAGTATTTACAGACTTACAGCTGGGTATCTCGAATTCCAAGATTCTTACCTAATTTAAGCTTAAATGACAGGATTAATTAGGCCATGGCGAAGGAACTAGTTGTAGCAAACATTTCGTCTGCTACGGTGCCCAATATCTTCAATGAAAATATTTGCAGTTGCTACCGCAAACAGCTGCAAACATAAACGTGATTATTTTTCGACCACGGCCTGATAGCCCGGATTCTGTTTCCTCTAATCATGAATGCGCCCGTGAAATCCTATGGCGGAGACTTCAGCTGCAATCAATACAACAATGAACATAAATACCTTGTGATGTTTTATGCGAATATGAGGCGCTGTAACACTGGAGGGAAATAATTTGCGAACAACCCAAAATAATATCCAAAAGTTCATGACGAACTTACAATAAAGGAGATGTACACACTGATATAAGGAACAAATTTGTCAGAATAGGTGTCATAAGGCTGAAGTTTTCCTGGAGCATTGATGAAAATCATAAGTCAGATGGATTCCAAGTAGAAAAAAAATCAAGTTAAAACACCTACTCGGCCCGTCAAGTAATTTTGATTATACCTTTTTTTGACAAAAACAAGGTTCCTTATTTGCCAAGCTGTAATTTATTCATATGAATATTACTTTGGAAGAAAAACTAAATTTTTTATCCCAATTTTATATTTACTAGGATATATTCAAACTGAGAAACGTCTTTTACCCAATAACAGCATGTCTTTAGTGTCACTATTTTTGGGGTGTGAAGGCCATCGATTTTTAAAATTTATTCCTGGCATTTCGCTGGCACTAGTGGCTAGTTTCTTCAGAGGTTCATAGATCCTGAGTTTTTCTCCGATGACTGAATATTACGGCTGCGTAAAGCGTATTTACGAGTATGTTGACTCAAGTTGTTTGGTGTGCTAATACATGTACCTGGATTAGGTAAATTGTCAACCCTGCCATGTTGCTGTTTGCTATTTTTAAACTTCTTAGAATGGGATTTCATATTCGGTCGAGGTTGCTGAAAGTGGGTCCCTTTTGTCATTAGCCGACCTGAAGCTTTGTTGTATCTTCTTGGTGGGTTTGAAAAATGTTGTGTTTACCCAAGAGTTTTTCAATTCTGTCTGTAACCCTAGAGATATGAGTTATATACGCGCGTGCAAGCATCTGAGCCCCCTCCCATTTTGAACCGTGGAACTCTTCAGTTTCATAGCCTTGTTGATCCCGGGTTCACTGTATCCATTTGATCTCACGGTCACTTGAAGATTCTTCTAGTTCTTTCTCTAGATGCTGTGGTTCACATATTCTTCAAGCTCGTTCGGTTCGACTTGAGATGACTCCTCTTCTACGCACTATCAAACCATCATCCACCACTATAAAACCACCATCCTCTGGCTAGGATGGTGATTTGATAGTCTTCTGGTTAGGATGGTAATTTGATAGTGCGTGCAGGTATCTTTCGATGTTCGTGGGTTTTTGGTACACTTTGTGGGCGAGCTTAACATCACATAATTCGATGAGTACATCTAGAAATGCTATCCGCTGGTCCTGTTCAGTCTCCTTGGTGAACTTGATGCTTGGGTGTTGAACGTTCAAGTGGTCTAGGAAAAAGTTTAGAGCGTCTCTCCCATGTGTCCAAATGACGAAGGTGTCGTCCACGTAACGTAGCCACAGGGACATACCTGAAGAGTTCCACGGTTCAAAACGGGAGGAGGCTCAGATGCTTGCCTGCGCGTATCTACCATATATTCCCAGGGTTACAGACAGAATTAGAAAACTCTTGGGGAAACACAACATTTGAATAATTTTTAAACCCACCAGCAAAGCCTCAGCAAAGCCTCACAGCAAAGCCTCAGGTCGGTTAAAGACAAAACAGACCCACTATCAGCAGCAGGGGTATATCGCATACCCTGCACTTGTGGGAAAGTATACATCGGCGCCACCAGAAGATCCATGGAAACAAGGCTGAAGGAGCATGAAAGAAACAGCAGACTAGGTCAAACGGACAAATCAGCTATGGTGGAACACGCACACAGTGAAGGAAATCTCAGAATTTTGTTTAAAAAAACACGAAACTCATTGCCTCCAACCAGGGATACCACACCAGAGTGGTACGAGAGGCAATAGAGATCCACAAACACGCTTTACGCAATTTACCTGATCCAGGTACATGCATTAGCACACCAAACTACCTGAGTCAACATAAATACGCCTTAGGCAGCGGTAATATCCAGTCATCGGAGATAAACTCAGAGTGTATAAACCTCTGAAGAAGCTAGCTACTGGATGAAATTCCAAAGAAACAGTGACACTGAAAACTTCGGCCGCGAAAGTCTTTACCATTTTGTTAACAGCATGTCTTTCGTACATTATGGCTTGCACACAATGGTAAATCTAATCAAATAATTCTAATTGAATTAATTTTAATCAAAAACACTGTTCCCAGTTCTCAAACCCTTCAATTAGTGGAAAGTTTTACATTTCAATTCCATTTACACATGAACTCATCCGTTATAAATTTAATGATTCATCTATATTGTTGATATCCTGCATAGCTCGACATTGAGCGAGCTTTCAAAATAGGAAACTCCACCGACAGTAGGTAATACTTGCTGAAGCTGATAGACTTTGAGTTGTTTGCCAGTTTGTATTTTCTTTTCCTTTTTTCTTTTATTCGAGTAACACAGACAGACAGTTTACAAAACCGCTAAAATGTTTTGTAAACTGTCAGTGGAAATCTCGCAATAAAGTGTTACTCGAATAAGTTATGGATTTTCATCAAATATCGAGCAATTCCATGACACCCCGTGAGTGTCCTTGTAAAAAATAACCATCAAATACTATCTATCTATCCATCTACCTTTCACCAGTCAAATATTATTCATCATATTGCTCTGAATAATTTCAACTTATAATTCACAATTTCCAATTATAGATTTAACTATGTACGGATCATGTGATGGCGACAAAACATTGTAAGAACGAAAAATATGTTCGTTTCGTATGACGCTATAAAAAAAAGAAAGGTTTGAGATAGGGTCCTATTTTATTATACACTGATACAGTATTTTCAAAATGTGGCATACGTCTCTTTCTTTTTGACTTGTGAAAAATACTCTTCTCTGGATGAAAAATGAGTATTAGTAGTAATAATGGAAAAAATGTTAGATACGAGAGTTATGTTTGTTTGAAGGTGATTGACAATGTTTCATGATGAATTTCATTAGTTCGGACTTCCATTGTCTGATATTATATAGAATGATTTGAAACCCCTGAAAGAACTAATAAAAAAGGAAAATTAAAAAAGAATAGCTTTCACAATGGAGAAGGCAGTCCACAACGAATTGTCATTCTTAGACGTATCACTGAAGAGGACCGATACTATGTGGGAAACATCTGTATACCGAAAACCCACTCACACGAGACAGTATCTGAGAGAGAGGAATCATCAAGACTCTATTAGACCGTGCTTTCGGGCTCTGTAATACGAAGGAAGCTCTCGAGAGAGAACTAGACATCATCAAAAATTATCATCAATGGAATGGTTACTCTACCAAAAGGATTTATTGTGGCTCACACCTATTCACACTCGACCAAATAAACCCAGCTTATTAACGAAGCCGATTATATGGTCTTTCAGGTCAGATGGTAAGAGTACGGCTCTGCCAAACTCTAAAAACCTGATTAGGTCCCCAGCGGGGCAGGCACAAAGTATGTGCTCTGCTATTTCCTCATTTTCCAAACAGAGGCGACCCACTGTCTTCCGACAGTCCGAGTTTCTGCATATGATGATTGAAACGACAGTAACTTGAGAAGGCCTGTTAGACATCGTAGTTCATCCCTACTCTAGCGTGAATACACGCCTTGGAGTGAGCCAATCCTGGAAGATTCTGCTAGAAGTCTATAAATCTTCTTGTCATCCATGTGTTCAATCTTTGTTTGGCAAAGCCTAAGACAAATTCTGATCCGATGAAACTGCTTGCAGCACCCTCCTTTTCAAGGGAGAGTCATCAGCCTCATGACCTTCCAAGCCAGTAAGTCCCGGAATCCAGACCAGAGACAATCTGTTGAGTCTTCCTATCGAGGAGAGTCGTTTTTGCAATTTGCTACCAATTTAGACGTTGCTTGGTAGGAACCAAAAGCTTCCAACGCCGCTTGACTGTCCGGGAATATTTTTATTGACTCGTGTATGAGGTTGGATTCTTCCAATCTCTCCGCACACAATTAAATAACATAGATTTCCTCTTGAAATACAGTCCCTAGGAAATTTGTCCTCGGTCTGCAACTGAAAACACCTGCACCAGAGCCTGAAGGTGTTTTTGATCCATCTGTGGATCTGTGGATGATAAAGAATATACCACAATTTATTAATCCCAAAAACATTACATGTTTATAGTGAGCTACTCTTAAGCGATGGTGGAACAAACTTTGTCTAAAAGACAGCAGGAGCTTCGCAAGGAAAAGAAGCCGTCACAACCAGTGCTTGCACTTCACTACATCAGAGGATTATCGGAAAGAATTAGAAGAATTGGGTCCAAGTACAATATCAGAACCTGCTTCAGATCGGGAAACAATATCCGTAGCAGCCTCACGAAAACCAGGCCACCAAACGCGAACTGCGATTCCAAGAATTGCATTTACCGGATACCCTATGAGTGCGGAAAATCCTATATCGGTAAAACTAAGAGGCCATTGAATATTCGCATTGGCGAGCACAAGAAACACAAACAGCGAGGGGAAACCAGCAAATCAGGAATAGCAGAGCATGTTTGAACCCATCAACATAACATCGAGTGGTCCCAAGCTGAAAACATACACAGGGAGGAACATTGGTTTAGGAGTAAATTCAAAGAAGCTGCATACATGTTGTCCAACAATGTATTCAGCCAAGCTAGCGTAGAGATACACAACATATGGAAACCCATAATTAAGCGAAAAATTGCCAACTCCTGCCAAACGGTCATCTCCCACTAAACTGGAAAAGCGGCAAAAAAGGAAAGCGGAGATGAGTGAAAGGTTATTTTCAGGTGGTTCAAATCATTTTATATAATATCAGACAACGGAAGTCCGAACTAATGAAATTCGAGATTCATTTGTTGTTTTATCACTCAAAATGCAAAAAGGAAGTGTACTGTTCAGAGTTGTGAAGAAAAAAAAAATTATAGAGATGATTTGAAGTTTGCGCAATATTTTTATGAACTGGGCATGTGACGTCTCTGATTTCTATTGAATATCATTACAGTTTCCTATCCATGATTTTATAATCCATCCTTTTTTTCTTCAATATCCATCATATTAGTTGAATAGTTTTATCAACTATACTTTTCATGTTCTAGGCCATTTCACTAGCTTGCGACGAAATTTTAGCAAAAATGAAGCCAATCAGAGACCAGATGAAGAATCCGACATGGGTGGAACTCGTCGATAAGTGTTATTTCAGCAACATTGATCTTACTTCAACTGGATCGTGAGTAGACGATTTTTCATAAATACAATTCTCTGTATCTGTATCTGTAGCGTAGGGAAGGTGAGTGTAGACCCATAGCACTTAGACCACATGTGACCCATTGTACTTTCTCCCTAGGAGTTATCCTCCTAGGTCATCGTCCATCCTGTCCTTTCCAGAAAGGTGAACAGGTCACTAGGACATACATGTGGCCCATTGTACTTCCTCCCTAGGAGTTATCCTCCTAGGTCATCGTCCAGTCATCGTCCATCCTGTCCTTTCCAGGAAGGTGAACAGGTCACTAGGACACCTCTCCTTTATATTGGCAGGTGTAGACCAAGACTCGCCGAACACACACTCTCTTTGGCAACCCTGAGGTGTCTCTTTTCCTTTTGGCCTCGGCGCCGCAAATGCTCTTACGCCTTGGCCTTTGTATTACATCACGAAGTGATCTGCTATGTCCAGTCTCATTCCAAGCGGTAGATTGGAGTGGACATTTCTGTTCATCCCTAGCCACCGCCTTAGATTGAGGTGAGCACTTCTGTCCAGCCTCGGGATTGATTGTTGTTTCTGTTTTTGTGTTTGTTTCATTCATGTGTGTTTCCACGAGTAGCAAGGGAAGAGTTGGTCACCTCTGGCAGAGCCCTGCATCACCAGAGGTAGGTTGGTTACCCAAGGGGATCGTTTGTCACCGTATATCACCCTGTGGTCATTCAGCTGTCGGCACGATTGCTTACACCTTAGCTTAGGTAGGCTGTTCACGGTGGCATGTTTCGCAAAGGCTTTTGGGGGATTTTAGTTCCCCTCACCCTACTTATTTCTGCCATTGACCAGGAGTCCGGCGACCACGTCCGTAAGGCCACATTGGTTTCCCGGACAGGGCCTCCAGTCCCCCGTCCGTTCCCCTATCCGCCACCTGCGGACGCGCCCGACAGCTAGCCCGACCCACGGGTCATAAATACAATTAATATAATGTATCTCATTAGGCTTCTATTACAATTTTGCGGAGAAGAAATAGGTATGAAAGTTTTGAGAATCAATGCACTGAGCCTTCTAAAATTAATAACCAATGGACAATGCGTATAGTTAGTTTTCTTCTATAAGAATAGTCATATAACTTTCCATATTCTGCTTGTGATTTTCGATTGATAGTCTGTAGTGAAAAAAAATAGTATTATGAAAACGCGTAAGGAAATTATTGTATAGCAAAGCAAGTGTTGCGATTTTGTAATATGACCAGTGAAAATTTCACAATAAAGTTTTAAATGTTCGAATCTAAGTGCATCTGAATTAAAGGTAATGACTTGCCCTTGAGTTGTGATGGTTGTGAACGCAAAATGCATGCAGAATGTTCGAATCTAAGTGCATCTGAATTAAAGGTCATGGCTTTAAAAGAAAAACGGCTGTTGAAGTTTTATTGTGATGATTGTCTGACAGGGGTAAGATTACTACCCAATTTAATCAAGAAAATTGATGAGTTGCTTTCTGAGGTTGAAAAACTGGAATCGAAAATTCAAAAAGAAACATGTACATATTTTTCCGAAGAATCAGTCATGAATGAAATATACGAGAGACAAAAAAGAATGAACAATGTTATGATATTCAATCTAGCAGAAGGAAATTCTTACAACTCGGACTTGAATACTGTTAAGGAAATAATTAAAGAAGTAACTCATGAGGATTTACATATTAAACAGATATTCAGAGTTGGACAGAAGAATAAAAGTGGTAACCGTGCGTTGAAAGTTATTTTAACCAGTGTTGAAGATGCAAACAAGTTAATTAAATCAAAAGAAAAAAGAGATGCACTCAAGGAAAAAAAAATGTTTATTAATGCTGATCTAACTCCACTACAAGTAAAAAACTGGCAAAATATGAAGAAAGAAGTCGATGATATCAAAGCAGAGGGGAGAAAATGTTACAATAAGATATGTGAATGGAGTACCTCAAATCACTGAAGCGGCTGCAAAAAAGTAAAACCCAATCAGTTTTCTGTGTATTTTCAAAATGTCGGCGGTATGAGAACAAAAATATTAGAATTTCAACAGAGACCAAACAAATAGAGATAAAAAAGAGGAGAAAGAATACTAATAGCCATTAGAAAATCTTTAATAACTGAGTCAATCGACATATCTCCTGAAAATATAGAACATCTGTATGTTAAATTATCAATTGGTGCTTCAACAATCATTATCGGTGATGTATATATTCCTCCTTCTTCTGTAGTGAATACTTATATAGAACATACTGCTACCGTTGATTATATTTTAGAGAAATACTGTACTAGCAAGATTATCCTTTGTGGTGACTATAATATACCCGACGCATTTTGGTTTAATGGAGAGCTTGGTCTGAATGTTGATTGTCCAGAAAACTCACCTGCACTAGCTTTATTTCATTCATTTAGTTTCCATAATTTATATCAAATCAATAATATTTCAAATTCAAGAAAAGTTTACTTAGATTTAATATTTTTATCATTCATAAATATGTCTGTTCAAAATCCATCGGACCCAATTTTTCAAAATACATTACATCATTCTTCGGTATGTTTTGATTTAAAAAATGATACAAAAGAATATCTAAAATATGATGAATACTTTTATGCCTTTGTAAATGGAGATTATATGAGCATGACTGATTTCTTGGCAAGTATCAACTGGGATACCGAAATAATGAAGAATGAGGATTTAAATATTGTAGTTACAAATGTTTGCAATATTCTCTTCACATCTCTGGAGTACTTTGTTTCACTAAAAAATATAAAGCTTCTTCTTTCCCAATATGGTTCAATTTTGAGCTGAAAAAATTAGTTTTTAAGAAGAAATCGGTTCACAGAGAATACAAAAATGGAAATTTTTATAAATATGAATAATTTTGTTATTTGAGAGATAAGTGCAAAACTTTGAGAAACACTTGCCATCAAGCATACATAAATGAAATAGAGAATAATATCAACAATAATCCTAGAAGCTTCTGGAATTATATTAATAATAAAAAAACACACTCCTAACCATCTAAAATGTATTATGATGACTCTGTCAGTGAAATTAGTGATGATATTGTGAATCTTTTTGCAGAATATTTGTCATCAGTCTACAGTAATGAAACAGTTAACCAAATTCCAGAATATAAATTTAGTAACACGGCTAATATATGTAGTTATAGCGTTGACATTAAAGAAATAATCGATATAGTCATGTCATTACCTGGGAAATTGTCTACAGGTCCTGATTGAATTCCGCTATTCCTAATCAAAAAATGTATTTTTACCCTGGTCAAACCAATTCACATGATATTCAATATTTCCTTGAAATCGTCGATCTTTCCAGATTATTGGAAAAACAGTTTTTTTTCCAGTAATATTCATTACTACACCAAAGGTCCAAACAGTGCATCATAAGTACTTGTATTGTTCAAAAAATAGTCTCTTGGATAACGTATCTGCGTTGTTATGTAGTCTGCTAATGCGACGTATTTGACCCGTCAGCTTCTTGGAGTTCATGATTCACTGAAGGGCAATGAAATCAGTCGTCAGAATGAAATTACATTCCCGATTCATAGATGTGTAAGGGTTATTTGATTTCTTCAACGTTAGATAGAGATTAGACTACAGATTTATCAGCGACGAAAAAATCATGGTGATGTTCTGGACATACTTTTATTTTTCTCGTTGTCCCTCATGAGTTTTTGGGATTCCACCAACATAGGTTCCTCTATATTTGACTTTACTGTACATGGTTCGTCCTCCGCCTAGTTGTTTACTATTCCAATGGGTTTCCATCAGAATCCCAGTCTACATATCATTTTACTTTGGTGTAATTTTGTGATCAGTAACAATTTCGCCGGCAATAGATTGTCCAAGAGCTGGGGTGCTTATCATTTCATCTTGTTTTCCAGATAAGCTAATATAATTTTTATAACATTCTCGAGGTTTTTGAGGATATCAATGTCTTTCAATTCCAGATGAGATGTCAGCAAAGGGCACGTTCTGAGTGAAATCTTCAGTGCGTTATCTTCATTTTCGTTTAATTCAGTCTTTCCTTGCATAATTTGAGATTTTCATAGTACTTTTTGTTGAACCGTTACGTTCTTCTTTCAGTCTTTTAAATGAATAAATGAAATAAATAAAATGAAAACAGGTCTGTTTCTTAGGATAAATAAAAAAATTGTTCAAATTATTTACTTTGTCCTACAAATTTTCCTTTATTTTATTACCTTTCAGTATCGCGAGCAGTTCTCCGGCAGTAAAATCGTACCAAATTTTCGGATTATGTGCTACTGAAGTGGAGATAGATATTTTAACCGGACAGAAACAGATATTACAAGTTGATATAATTGAAGATTTGGGTGACAGTGACAGCCCTCTGATCGATATTGGTCAAGTAGAAGGTGCTTTTGTTATGGGTAAGTTTCCTAGGATTATACGAAAAAATAATTTTTTGGCATACACCTAGATTGTTTTCCTCGAAATACACAGACTGAATGAGCAAAGAATCTGAGTTAACATGGTAGTTATTACAACAGTACCAATCATTATGATTATTTCTTCCAATTCTTCGGATAGTGTGATCCATAAGTAGAAGATTGAATCATTTGGTACGTCATATTCCGTATGTCAATTTCGATTCTGAAATTACATTTTCCAAGCATAGTTCTTACCTCACTGTTCTACCTTTTTGGGGGAACAACCTCCTTCAAATTCTTGAATAGAACTAGAATTCATGTGCTAGCTTATTTGAAAGGGCATTCAATTCTCGGTCCACCAATATAAAGTTTTTTAATTGCTTTGAAATTTTTGTTGAATAATGGAAAGATCGGAGGCATAATGTCACCTATTTGATTTATTTAGATGTTCCTAAACTTTATACCTCTGGCGAAAAGGATCTACATCAATCCTTGAGGTTGCTAGAAATGTACAGGCACGCTATCGGCATGAAAATCAGGATAGACAAATGTGCAACGGTCCATCTCAAACGAGGACGATCCAGGAACAACGGTTAGGATGTGCAGCTCGTAGATAGAAGCATCCTGCACCATCTGGATGACGGAGAGACGGGAAAAAACAAAGCCGCTCGCTACAAATATGATTGCCGTTTTAACCCTACTCTACTCGTTTGGAGGAGCTGTATCAACTTGACGTAAATACTCGACAAATGATGCATCCCCATATAAGTTTGAATTCCGAATCGTCCGTTCCACGATTGTACCGTGGACTTTTGAGTTTGGAGTGTCTACATGACAGACCACTCTGAATAAAGCCTGTAAAATCATCAGGAGTTCGGATCCCATTCTCTACTAGGACCGAGACCATGAGAGAGCAGGAACTGGTGAACTTGTTTTAGTTTTCAATACTGAAGGAGGTGATCACAATTCTATCACCGAATTGAAACCCGTCCAGCAAAAGTCCAATATAAAAGCCACAGAGATCACTTCACTCCTGAGCAATACAAGGACAAACCAATGCAGGGGATCTTCTTCAACACCATTGAAAACATCGGGTTATTAAAGCGCAAGACCTTCGCTTTCCTCAGGTCGAGTGGGCTGAAGTCGGAAAGGGGTTCATCATGGCCTGCCAGGATGGTGTACACAACACCATATTCTAACGCAGTTGCGTGATGATTATAGAGATTCCTGACATGAAGTGCATGGCTTGCCATGAAGATCATGACCAGCATATGCATTCTCAATCTACTTTTATCGACATAATGCAGCCTTTAGTGTGCTTCATCACAAAAAGACCGGTGTTATACTGTTCCATGAGATATTGAATTCGTTGTGGGAAATTAGAAGTGCCGAGTTTATTAGAACTATTCATTCCCCTTCCCCAGGTTCGTAGAAGCTAATAAGCCTGATGTTCTTCTTCTCGACCATCAGGGCAAGACTAGATTTGTCGTGGAGTTTTCAACTCCTGGCAAGACAGATATCGTTCGGAAACAGAAGGAAATACGGATAAAATATCGAAATGTTTTTTCCAACGACACATTATCCAGACCACTTTCTGAAGATTATTGTTTTGATTATTGGAATTCTTGGTTGTATGATGCCTACTCTACTCTCGAATTTCAAGATCATGCCGGCTTGCCGCACTAAGACGGACATGGTTAATAATGCTGGCGAGCTTTTCCGCATGTGTTGGAGCTCAGGTAACTAGGCTGGACCAGCTTACCCGTTGATAATAATAATAATAATAATGTTGCCCTCTCTACTCTCGAATGTCAAGATCATGCTGGCTTGCGGCACTAATAAATGTGGGCCAAACAAATGCAGAAGGCGGTCATTCTCAGGTCATTTCATCTGCTCAGGGGATGCATCATTTTTTTGCTCAAGAGGCTGATGAATTCGGTTTAGTTTTCAACACTTAAAGAGTTGATGACAACTCTGTCACCGAGTTGGAACCCGTTCAGCAAACGGCTCACTTGAAATACGCAGGGATCATTTCACTCCTGCAGTTACATAAGGAAAATAAGGATGAACCGATGCATGGAGTCTTCTTTGACAAGATGGAAGACCGAGGCACATCGAAGCATCTGACCGTCGCTTTCCTCGGGTCGAGTGGGTTGAAGTTGTCTACCTTAGTCTACCGTACAACCTGAAATATTCATGAGACACCGGTGTTTCCCTACGCTCCGGGGAATATTGAATCTGTTGTGGGGAATGAGAAGTTATCTCTCTCTCAGGCTCATACAAGCTAGAATCCTGATGTAGTTCGTCTCGACCATCACTACTCTCGAATTTCAAAATCATACCGGCTTTAATAATACAGTATAATTTATATACAGGGCTATTCAAATTCGTTTCTGTACATGGGAATCTCGTAAACGATAAGAGATAGAGTGTCGGTTAAATTNCATAGGAAGACGTGAAAGTTGCTATTTTGTTTTCATTTAACTGAGCTAAGCAATTTCCAGGGCCGTAATTTAAAAGGGAATAATTCACCCAATTATAATCAAATATTACCGAAACATCCCCAAATATAAAATAAAATTCAATTTCTCAGTATGAGCTACAACAAAAGCTACAACAAAAAATACAGGTCCGTATTTAAAAATTCAAAGATAGGGGTGGCCCAAGTCAGATGACACCCTATATAAAAGATTCATGGACATATTCTGATAGCCCACATCAAGTGCCTATAGCAAACTGTGGACAGATTTTCCATATATCTGCGAATGAAGAAGATATAGGCAAAAATTATTTGGGAATTTTTTGTTTTTCCTGTATATCTCCAGAACCAAAAGAGCTATATTCGATTTTTTTACATCATTGAATAGGTCTCTAAAATACGCAACTTTGCCATACTTTAACCGACACTCTAACTCTTATCGTTTACGAGATCCCCATGTACAGAAACGAATTTGAATAGCCCTGTATAACGACTTCGCTTTTAACGACTAACCGTTTTTAGCTGCGATAATGTTTAGTCAACTTGAGTTTCATATCTAGGTATTGAGAAAATATAACCGTTTAGTGCGACTCCGGTTTAAGCGACCAACTGCTTTTAGCGACCATTTTTTATGATAAAGTTTGTCGCCTACTTGTCCGGCACAGCACAGCACTGCACGTTCCGTCAAAATACGGATAGGATTGGAACAATGAAAATGAATTGACAACCGCCCACTAGCCCGGCACGGAACAGCCAAGAGCGTCCGCCGCCGGAAAGGAATCCAGCTCACCAATCCTCTCTCTCTCTCTATTTTAGATGGTCGTTGCTTCCTATCTTCAAGCGCATATGACCAATGCTCATCCTGTTGGTTAACAGGAGCTTCGTCGGGAGGCGCAGCGGTCTTGCACAAAGCAATACTGCCACCCATTTTTTTAGAAAATTATATTAGTTTTTCACACCCATTTATTTGAAATAATTAGTCTGCGTCATATTTATTTCAGGTATTGGTTATTACACCACGGAAGAACTTATTCATAATTCAGATGGAAAACTTATAACTGATCGTAGTTGGAATTACAAACCTCCAGGGGCTAAGGACATCCCAATCAACTTCAGAGTTAAATTTCCAGAAAACGATCCTAACAAAGTGGGGCTCCTCAAGTCGAAAGGTAACTTCCTATGATAAATGAAGCTGTGACACTTGAACTGAAAATTTTTCAGCCGTTGCCGAGCCTCCAATATGCCTTTCTATTGCTGTTCCTCTAGCTATCCGAAGTGCCTTAGCATCGGCTAGACACGATGCAGACAGCAGCCAGTCGGCATGGATCCCTTTCAGTATGTATTTTGAATATATAGACATCAAATTTGATTCAATTTTGTGTAAAAGAAAACCTGAAAAGCCCGATTTTATAAAGAAAAGGGCATAACAATTTCCATCAATATTCAAAATTACCTCATTATTGTTTCAACCTGAAATTGGAAAAAAATAGAGACTGATCTAGTCTCTACTTAGGTTACATTACGCCACAGTAGGAATCTGTTGGATTGTTTTCAAAGAGATAGTTCTTGATGGTTCGATTATGCATCGCAGCATCTCAGACTGCACCAAAATATTAAACACTAATTTAGTATTTTCATTATCGATCCCTATTTCAGATTCTATTTAATCTCTAGTGGTCGTTCTCAATAATATCTTCCAAGTATCATTCATCTCTGGCTCAAAATTAGCACAGAGCCTAATAATCCTGCACTCAAAAACCCAAGGTCAACTAGGCTATTGCCATTTCACCCCAAAAATTGTTATAGACAATGTTTTGTTTCGGATAATTCTATACAACAGTTTCATATCTTGTCAGTTGTAGTATTAATTTAAATAGTTCCTACTTAAGTGTCCCTTCTGCGATAATTGGAATATCCAGGTAACCATTTTTCTGGATCCATCTTTATAAGCAGATATTTCTTGAGGATTTCTTCTAAAGCTGCTGAGATTCGGTAGACTTCATTTTTTTTTAAACTACTTGCTTTTGTTATTGGCAAAATACAGTCTTGGCAGCTCTTCAAAGGTATATACTTTGGCATTCTTCAGATCGTGGTATCGCGGCACTTGCAATATTTATTGAACACGTGCCAGTTATTGGTTCCAACTTCATAGGTTTTAGAATTTTTTTTCAAGTTATCGAATTTCCTTTTGAATTTCTCTTTCCATCTGTCTAATATCTGCTTTACCTACTCGTCATTAAGTTTAGTACATCGCATCGCAGTAGCAAATCTTCATCTCTCTTTTCTTTTTGGAACCCCATCTTCTTCATACTTTTCTACCAGAAGCTCTTTGTTTTATAGCAGCAGTTCTTTACAATTAACAGACTTCTGCCAATTTTGTTCTTCCTCACATCTTCGTTGTTTTTCATCTCTTTTGTATTTTCCATCCGTCAGTTTTCTTTTCTTCCATTCTCTGAATGTTTTTTTTTGTTTTTTGGTGGATTCAACTGTCTCTTCTTCCTAAACCGTCTGACCAATAAGAGGGTCAACCTGAAAAAAATCAGCTGCCGATTTCCAAGCTTATTGAAATGACGTTTTGAAATTTACAAAATTTCGAATCATTTCGGAGGTATTCGAAAAGAATCGAAATTCCTTCTTTTTTTTTCTTCGTTATTTGAGATGTTGGAAAAAATACTTTCTCTTTGCCACTTTTCAAGAAAACTGTACGAGATGGCAGGATCCAACACCAAACAGCGTTGTTTCGACCCATTAAAGGTTCATCAGTAGTACTAGGCTGAACAACACAGTGTTTATTAGAATGTCTGGAATGGAAACTACCGTTCCGTGGAAAAATCATATTTTCATACATCCCTGTTGTTCGCATACCATGAATCTCATAGTTTATTGGATTTCAGTGACTCTTTTCACTGTTTGTTTTTATTTTCAGAATACTTCTAAATCAATTTTCCATTAGTAATTTCTCAATTATCCAGAAGCATTCAGAACAGTGCAAAATATACTTAGTGACAAAGAAAGGTAAACATCCATTTATTTTGAAAATATTTCAATAATTTTTCACACACATACTTGACAGATGATAGCAAACAAACGAGTAAGTTTCCAGAGAAATTGGATAATCGTGAAACCAGTGAAGTTCAGTAGTGTGTTGCACATCCTGGATGTTTTATACACTCGTGGATACGTCTAGGCATTGTTCTGATAAGGTGGTCTATATCCTGTTGGGGTATCCCATTCCACCCTACTTCTAACTCATGTCTAAGAACTGCCAAGGTCTGTGGGGACTGTTGTAAATTCAGCAGTCTGCGACTAAGAATATCTCACACATGTTCGATCGGTAAAAGATCGGGCGATCTGGGTGGCCATGGTAAGCAGTTAATGTCATGCTGATCCATGAAGTCTAGAGTTACTCTATGGTTCTCGATGGTCTCAAAATATGGAAGGCTCCACTACTTCGTGAATGTAACGAAGAGCTGTCATGTTGCCTCTAATAAAGACAAAATGTTTCCTGCTACCATATGCAATGACACCCCATACCATTAAACCAACAGTATGGTGAACATGGCTCTCCACATCAAACTGGGGATCTCGTCTTTCACCACGACGCTTTCTTACTCACGCGCTGTTGTTTCCCTGCGACGACCAGTGTCCCTAGCTCTGTGTTCTTGGCCTTCTAAAGTTACCCATTTTCAAGATTTTTAAAAGTTATAGAATTTGGGGAAGAGGGATTCAAATTATTAGTGAAGTATCTAGTGTAGTGTATATGGTTTTCATGACAATTAACATTAACATTTATTCATTTTTTAGATGGTACTACAACAGTGGAGGCAACTTTCCTTGCATCTTTGAATAATTTCCAGCAGTACACGTTGTAAGGTATATACTCATGATTAAGTAAGATTTCGACAGGTTCAATTCTTGCAGTCGCTGAAGAAAGCAGGAAAAAAGTAATAGAACCTCTATGTAACTGTATTTTGACTTAGGAATTAAACAAAAATAGCAAAATTATTTTTTTCATATACCCCGACACAAACTACTCGTATAAGAAATGAACCTTTATTCGTGTGTGAATTCTGACCCCTTCAAAAATACTCCACATAAGACGCACTTCGATGCGGTGCTTCTCCTGGTGGCATGTAGTCTATTAAAGATGACACATCAAATGGAAAGAATCATCGTTGCTGGAGTCATCACTAGTTGGATCAGCCGCTTTAGGCCTGGGTTCAGAAAAGTGGTTGAAGTTTCTTTTTTGAACAGGGGGTCTTCGAGATTTTTTTCTATTTTGTGTTTTCAAAACTTCAGATTCCTTCTTCGCCTTTTTTTCTTCCAATCCGTTCTGTAATTGTTTTTATATGGAGAGCATGTTATTATAGAGGATGAACCAGCTTTCCTGCCTCTATTTAATTTCTGTGTGGGAATGAACTCTCCATAGGAAAGACAAGACTGGTCAACTTTGGCTTGACAAGAACAATCACATAGGGAGTTTTAGATGAACACGATTGAGGTGAGTCATATAGGGTTGATAAACTTGAAATGGGGGCAGATGTTGGTTCAATAGGTCTTGTTTCAGGCCTTGGAACTGTGAGTGGTGAAGCAATGAAATCCTCACTGCTAAAAACATCTCCATTGACAGGATAAATGTCAGTCGCTTTTAAACCATTAACTGCAATGTCCCCACGTTGTACTTCAAGGTAAGCCTTGCCAAATAGTTCCATTATATCAAAAAAAGGCCTTGAACTGTGACGTAAAAACGATCTCACTTCNCGAGCAGCTTGCACACTGAATCCAAATTTCGTAGATTCGGAATCATCGGATAATCTTCCATCACATAAGACGCACTTCGATGCGGTGCTTCTCCTGGTGGCATGTAGTCTATTAAAGATGACACATCAAATGGAAAGAATCATCGTTGCTGGAGTCATCACTAGTTGGATCAGCCGCTTTAGGCCTGGGTTCAGAAAAGTGGTTGAAGTTTCTTTTTTGAACAGGGGGTCTTCGAGATTTTTTTCTATTTTGTGTTTTCAAAACTTCAGATTCCTTCTTCGCCTTTTTTTCTTCCAATCCGTTCTGTAATTGTTTTTATATGGAGAGCATGTTATTATAGAGGATGAACCAGCTTTCCTGCCTCTATTTAATTTCTGTGTGGGAATGAACTCTCCATAGGAAAGACAAGACTGGTCAACTTTGGCTTGACAAGAACAATCACATAGGGAGTTTTAGATGAACACGATTGAGGTGAGTCATATAGGGTTGATAAACTTGAAATGGGGGCAGATGTTGGTTCAATAGGTCTTGTTTCAGGCCTTGGAACTGTGAGTGGTGAAGCAATGAAATCCTCACTGCTAAAAACATCTCCATTGACAGTATAAATGTCAGTCGCTTTGAAACCATTAACTGCAATGTCCCCACGTTGTACTTCATTATATCAAAAAAGGGCCTTGAACTGTGACGTAAAAACGATCTCACTTCCTCGCTATAATGGGATTTTAACGGACCCATGAAGTTTTTGTCTAAGAGTTGGATTTTATGTGAAGAGTGGGAAGGCAGACACATGATCGTAACATAATTTTCTATAGCTACGTTGATAACGTCAGTGTTATTTTTGTGGGTGGCATGTCCATCAAATAAAAGCAGGATAGGTAAATCAACTAAGGGTTTTCCAACAACAATGAAATGTTTAAACTATTTGGTGAAAATGTTTGCATGTATCCAACCACTTTGGTGACAAGAGGCTATGGTTCCTGTCACTGAAAAACCAATGTCGTAACTATGATCTACGACTCTTTAGGTGTACATTGTGCTTGAGTGCTTGGTCTTGTAGCTGAAGTCACATTGTTGTAGTTAGTAAAAATATTTGAAGTCCTATCTGTAAACATTCTTGTGAAACACAAAACAAAATTCGTTCTGTAGCAAGCAGATAAACAGCAACAGGTGGTCAACTCTCACAGTAGAGCAACAAGGGAGTTTTTTGAAGTAGGTCATGATATTTCCGCGAGGTAACATCACCAAACAGAACTGAATCCTGAGTATTCCATATTTCCCTTTTATTTCATTATACCCCACTCTCCTCTAAGATAATTAACGAATCAAAAATCGATTTATGGACAAATCGGTCTCTTCACAGTAATTTTTTATCAATTTCCTATCAACGGGGCTATGCTGGAAAAAGAGACTTACGAAATAATCATTGAGCACATTTGAGTTTTCAAGTCATCATCAAGTAATTATTGTTCAAACCCCTGCTATGATGTAAATTGAATTACAGACCCACTTCATGTAAATGTAAATCATTGTTCACAGCACCATTCTTTAATTGTTCAGATAGATAGATATACTTTATTGACTATTTCACACAGTGGTTTACAGCACGTCACATAGTACAAAAAATATTGAGAGACAATATGTGAGACATAGTCGAACGCCTTGGACAAATCGCACATAGAAAGGATGGAATGTTTTTTTTTCAAGGTCATCGACAATGTCCTCCACGACCTTCATGAGGTAAGAAATTTGAAATAAAGATATAGATCATCAAAGCCAATATTTTTGACAATAAAACACTCGAAAATCTAAAGTAGGGTTACCCGAAAATGAACCCAAGTCAAAAATATTGAACAGAATTATTTATATTGCTCTCAGCCATTTGATGGGATATAAAATTATCTTTCAAACGATATAGCACATGTAGCCATTCCCAATGAAACTAGCTGCGTAGGAACCATTTTCTCCAAAT